GGGGATGTCTCAGTTTGATTATGACTCACGTGATTTACGGTCGGGGCCTCTGTTAGAAGAGACAATTTGAAAAAAGCATTGAGAAAGTAGTTTACTAAAATATTTTTGCGAACAATGATTTATATTTCAACTAAAACATCTTTAAAGGGGATAAATAAATGTAATAAAAAAGAAAAAAGACATTATATACACCATCTATTTATTGATTTAGTAGGATGTCGTTTAAACAACTCAAATCATGTAAAAAATATTAAACGGAACCAAGTTATACAAAGTAATTACAATGAATATTTTATCGTACCGTGTAAAAACTTACATCGAAATATAGAACGTCGAGGAATACCATACAAATAATTAAGTCTCAATTTCAAGAAAAATAGAGACTTAGAAGAAGACCAGTACATAAATTAGATTAGATTAGATTACATTAAGAAAGGTGGCCTTTCGGCCTATTCCACTACGACCTTTTCAGATCTATTGTGGTCCTCTAGTTCTAGATAACACTCTCTAGCCTGAACCTTTTTAAAAAGTCTAATAGCTTCGAGTCTGTACCTTCCATGTAGCTATTTGCGGTTGGATTTTCTTTACCTAATGCAGAGAACCACACATTTGCCAGATGGTCACACTGACATAAAATGTGCTCTGCTGTTTCTTCTTTGAGGTGACAGAATCTGCACAGGTCATCATCTGATAAATCCATCAGCTTCAAGTGCCTATTCAGTTTACAGTGGCCTGTTTAGAAGACCTACTATGGCTTTGACTGTTTTCCTGTCTTTGCTTATTAGGTCTGTCGTAAATTTTGCCAAATGTTTTGTAATTAACTGTTTTGCCTGTCTTTGTCCTGGTGAATTTCTTCACCATTCCAGAGATATGCGAGCTACTCACTTTCTTGTAGTCGTTTTTGTTATTGAGTTTGCAACGCTGCAGAAGGGTTCCGGTCCAATAAATGGTATTGATGAGCCTTGTTTGGCCATTTCATCTGCTTTTTCAGTGCTTTTATGACCCTCATGCCCCGGTACCCGGGCTACCGTAATCTTGCTACGGTCTCCTAATGTATTTAGGGTATACACGCAATCGCCTACTAGCTTAAAATTGACCTCTATAAAATTTAGTGTCTTAAGCGCTTCCTGACTATCTGTGAAGATCGCAACTGAACATGACTTTCTTTCCTGTCTTTCTATTTCTTCCACGCAGTGATGGATTGCAGTTATTTCCGCCTGGAAAACTGTCACATTCTTAGATAGACTTACCGGGAAATGTATACCTTAATTTGTCCCTGCTATGTAGGCTCCCATACCCTCCGATGTTTTTGAGCAGCAGCTTGTATGGGTGCTCCTTTATTCCAGTCTTCCCTGCCTGGTATCTAATTGTGAATTTATTGTTAAAGCTATATCTCGTAGCTGTTGCTTCGATAGGTTCTCCATCGCATTATCGGCCTTTAGCTCCTCGATTAGCTCTCTGTTGTCATTACCCTGCATCTGGCTTAAATGTCGCTGACTATGGATTAATCTGTGTATCACTGATCTGGATTTGCCCTGTATACATGTAGACTAGTACGTATATAGAGGATAGTAACGAGTAGTTATTAAAAGATGAAGTAAAATATTTTAAAACCAATATTTCTACATCATAAGATATGCAGATGAGATCGTAATTATGGAAAGCTCTGCTGAGAACAACTCCAATTACTGCTAAACAAAAAAAAAACAGTTTCTGTGAAAAATATGGACTAAAAATGAATATAAAAAAGACCAAATGCATGATAGTACCAAAGATGCTTAGAATAGCATGGACACCGAAAAAAACTAACACGGAAGTATTGCGAGAAATGGGTAAAGAATGCGAAATAATAAAAACAATAAAATAAGAAAGTTACAATATCGGGAACACGTAATGAGGTGACAGCGATATGAACTGCTATGGCTGATAATACAGGAAAAGATAAGAGGTGGAAGGAGTATAGAAAGAAGGAGAGTGTCAGTGTTGAAGAATTTAAGGGACTGGTTTAAATGGAGTTTTCAGAGCAGCAGTAGATAGTGTAAAGATAGTGATGATGATATCCAACCTCTGCTCGGAGACGGCACTTGAAGAAGAATTCACTATTTGGACAAGAGTTATAGAGAAGTAGGCTCCTCGGAGACTACCTTTTACGTGCTAGGTTGGGACTTTATTCCCACCTTTTTTACATCTTTAAATAGAAGAAGGAAATTGTGTATACAGACACCTGTGACTCACCTATGTAGAGGTTGGTTTCTAATACCCCAAGTTGTGCCAGGACGAGATGCCCGAGGGAGTTAGAACTTTGATATTTCGTCCCGTCACCACTCTGAGATGGTCGGCCTCCAACTAAGAACCTCTCCAGAAGTTGGTTAAGTCAAAACATTTCTTCTGATGCCCTGCTATCACCCGGTTTCCATTCTTTCTCCACACATTTATCGGGAAAACCACATCAACACGAACTCCAAAAACTTTTAAGTCCTTGCCTTAGCGAGTACCACCCTCAAATGGTGTCGGACTCGTAGGGCCAATGGATTCGCTAAAGATCTAATACCGAAAGGCGAGATAAACCTTGGTCTTGCTGCTGCGTTTGTACACAAAAGAGGTGACAGAAACGTTCCTGTATGATGCGAAGGCTTTACTCGAAAGCTTTTGAACTAGTGTTCAAAATTGGAAAAGGGAAAGAAAACGTGAGCATAATTAAACAAAGAAAATTTGAATTTTTTGGCCACTCATTGATATATAATAAGTACCGTCTACTACAATTCTTATAGTATAGTGTTTTAGTTTAGCTTAAATGTTTATATTTCAATTCCTTTATCTATTGTATTTCCTGTATTTTTACAGTTCTCAATAACAGCTAAAATTGTAATCATTTTAGTTAATTTGTTTTACAAATTCTAACAATAGTTTGATTCAGTTATTCTAGTTATTAGGTACTCTATTACATTCATAATAATTACTTTTTATACTATTTCTTTTCCACTTGCTTACTTTCTTTTTTCTTCCTATAACTAATGATATATAAATACAGTGCTTTTCAGATAAAACTATCCACCTTAAATAACTTTTGAACCTCTAATTTTTTGGAAAAACGCAACACACTTTAATTAATATCTGAAGGGGGAGGCATAATATCATATTTAAGGTTGCTGGAAAATGCATCCTCTCACCCCCTATTTCAATCCTTTATTTTTTTTTAAATTACTTTCCCCTTTTTTTATTTTATATTTGGATTCTCCTTTTTGTACTGATTTCAGAAATGTATAATACATGATACTTGAAGTGATTAGTTTATGAGAAAAGTAAATACAAAAGCAAGAAAATTGGATTGAAAAAAAATTATTTTTAACAATTTTATTACACACATTTAGAACAAACATTTCACTACTAACAATTTTTACAATAATTGTTCAAAATGACTGCCTTTCACTTCCATACAATAGTACAATCTATTTTGAAATTCTTCTCTGACATTGCTTAACACGTCTGCATTTAATTGTCGACATTCATCCTCTATTCTTTGTTGTAAGTCATCTAGATATTCTGGTTGAGTAGCATAATTTTTGTTTTTAAATACCCCCATAAGAAGAAGTCTAGGAAAGTTCAATCCGGTGACCTAGGTGGCCAATCGATCATCTGTCGTCTTTTACCTATCCAAGGACCGGGAAACGTTTCGTTTAAAAATTATCGCACAGGTAAAGCAAAGTGTGGAGAAGCTCCATCATGTTGAAATACAACCAAATCATCGGAAAGGTTATCATAATTTGCTACTATTGTTCTAACGATCAACCACTTACCTATATAATTCAAGATACGATGCACCATTTAAGTTTCCAGTGATAAAGAAGGGTCCGATAATGTGATTACGTAGGTTATCACACCACGTGTTTAACGTATACGTTTAACCTTTGAGGATGCTGTGTGTGAAATTCGCATATAATATGTGGATCACTCTCAGCCCAGTATCGGCAATTATATCTGTTCACCAAACCGTTTAATGAGAATGAGCATTCATCCGAGACGCAAATATTGTTTAACAATTGTGGATTGTTAATGATGCATTTTATCATTAATTCGCAACATTCGGGACGACGATCAAAATCTTCTTCATTTAACTCTTGTACTAATTTAATTTTATACGGATAAAACTTAAATTTATGGAGGACTCGGAAGGCTGTAGAAGATAAAACACCGATTGCTCTGCTTATTGTTGACAGTGACTGTGATTGTTAAGAGTCTAAGTTAACTTGCCCTAAAACAGCTACTTGGATTGCTTTTTTATTTACAAGTTCCTGTCGGTTATGTTTTTTATTGCAAACTGACCCTCTCGATCTAATTTTTTCTGCATCAGTTCAATCACACACTTATGAGTTGCATGTCTATTGTGGTGTATTTCATTAAAAATTCTAGCAGCAGCTCTTGCACAATTATTATTTTTGTAGTATAAACTAAAGGTACTACAAATAGTACGGTTAAATATTTAAAGAGTTTAAATTATGCCACAACCTATTTTGTTAGAGTCAATTAAGGTGAGGTGAGATAGTGTCTTGTTAACAGGAAAATTGTCTATCGGATAAACTAATCACTTCAAGTCAAAGGTATTATACATTTTTGAAATCAGAACAAAAAGGACAATCCAAATATAAAACAAAAAAGGGGGAAGTAATTAAAAAAAAATAAAGGATTGATACAGGGGGTGAGAGGGTGCATTTTCCAGCAACCTTTAATATGATATTATGTCTCCCCCTTTAGATATTAATTGACGTGTTTTTGTGTTTTTCCAAAAAAAATTAGAGGTTCAACAGTTATTTAAGGTGGATAGTTTTATCTGAAAAGCACTGTATATCATTTGATGTCTTGTAGTTTCGTAACCGTAGCTAAGCCGTATCTTAATATTTTATTTTAAAAAGACACTCATATTTTAAATAGTCTGTGTTAATTTATTTTAACTTGTATAAGAACTTATTGTTTTTATTCAATCGTAATCTTTTTTGTTACAGAAATGATTCTTCGAAAAATGGTAAAAGAACAAACAATCTGTGTTTTCATCATTATTGCTTTAGCAGGTAAGTACATGGTGGAAGCTTGTAATCAGACCCTACGTGTGTAAAATTAATAAATAATCTTATGTTCTATAGGTTGATGGTTCACTGATATACAGGTAATTAGCAGTGTATAGAAGTTACCAGTGAGACTGCTTCTTAAAATCATAATACACATAAAAAGATAGTAATATAAAAGATAAAAACCTAACCGATAGTATTGATTTTAACACATGTATTTTAAATGAAAATTTAACAACGGATATGTTAATATGTATTAACGTAAATACTAGTGAGCAATGATACTAATACTAAAACTAATAAAAATTAACGGGAAAATCCTATTAGTTGACTGTTTTATTTTATTTTTACGCACAACAGGCCGTTAAAGCCTAGGGCAATTTTTGTAAACATAATCGTAATATTAACTAATTACAATTATTTTAAACAAAACTTTAACTTGTAATATGTATATACAACATTCTTAACTACTCTGAAGGACCTGTTGGACAATATTTCTCCATTTGCTTCTATTTTGTGCTTTTCTTTTCCAGTCCCTCACGTTCACGTGTTTGAGGTCTTCCTCCACTTTATTAATCCACCTCGTTCTGGGTCTACCTCTTCTTTTGGGGCCGATTAGTTTTCTGATTACTAGTTTGGGCATTCTGTTTGCTTCCATTCTTTCCACATGTCCCAACCATTCTTTGTGACTTGACGAACTTGGTAATGGTAGGTTCTTTGTATAAAGCCATTAATTCATTGTTGGTTCTTCTCTCCCAACCATCTTCTGTCTTTTGTCCTACGAATGTGCGTCTCAGTATTTTCCTCTCCCATCTTTCCAGAGTATCCTCTTCCTTCTTATTTAATATCCATGTCTCATCAGCGTATGTTACTGTGGGTCGAATTACTGTTTTATATATTCTTAGTTTACCTTGTCTAGAAACGTATTTTGAGTTCAGTAGGGTTCTTAAACTACCTAATTTTTTATTCCCTTTTGCTATTCTGGCTTCCAGCTCCCATTCCTTTTTTCCATTTTTATCGAAAACTACACTCAGGTATTCAAATTTGTCCACCCTTTTAAAACTATAGCTTTTACCACTTACAGACCTCACATCAAAGTCTTCTTTTTTCCCTTCTGTTCCTTCCATGATCATATATTTGATTTGTCTTCATTTAGTTCCAATCCGAATGTTTGTGCTTCTTCGATGATTTTCTTTACAACTCTTCTTAATTCTTTCTCGGTTTTTGCTAGAATCGTTAAATCGTCAGCAAATGCCAAGCACTGGTGCTCATTTTTCATGATTGTTTCTTCCACCTTCATGTTGCTTTTTCTAATTACAGTTTCTAACATTAAGTTGAATAATGTAGCGGATAAAGGATCTCCCTGTCTCAAGCCTTTTGCAACCGTAAATTGATCTGATATGTGACCCTGCCACGTAATTTCACACTTACGAGATATTTAATGTCATTTTTACTAGCCGGATAAGTTTCTTTGGTCTACCACCGTGGCTGCTTACCGCATGCGTTTGTAGGTCTGTACGCGCCTTAAGAAGATAGCATGCAATGAACACGCCTCAACAGTTCATACACATTTAAATCGCTATTCTACTTTAGTTACTAGGACGAGGAAACGAATATTTTTTGATACAATCACTAATCAATGTTTTATGTTTAGTTAAGATATTAAATATTTGTTTGTACATTAATATTTAATATCAATGCATACATCGTAGTGACTAATTATGTTAAATTATAGCGACTAACAAAAGGTTAATTACTAAAAGTCAATAAGACTTAAGACTACCACGTGTCCTTATTAAATTAATGGGCTTATATTATTCGACATCAGTTTGATAATTACTTTAAAACACGATTTCTCTTAAATACTGTTTTACTTTTCATATTAGACGTTAAAAGCACTCGTGGTAAAAGGTTTAATCCCCTTTTCGGAAAATTCTTGATATTCGAGAATTAACACTCGCCTTTTCGAAGGAAAACTCTGAAAGGCACTTAATTTAATTGGCACAAAGCAGGATCTAATCCTATTGAGTTTGATTTTATTGACTGCGAAGGTCAAGAATAAATAAATACCCTTTTACTAGCCATTGTATAAGAAACAAAGAGTTTTAAAGTTTTGATTCTCTTTTAAGATATAGCAGAAACTCGAAGCGAGCGAATTGGGAGCCGTGGTCGTTCCGGACTATCGAACATCCGTGCCATAAAATATTTTCTGAACTACATTTTTTTACAATCTTTAAATTAATACATTTTTAGATAACCGAATAGAGGCATTCGGGAATTGTTTTTATGACCTTCAGAAACTGTCACCAATTTGTCAGATACTTTCAAATAGTGACAAATTATGTGGCTTTTTCCCACATATAATATTTGAAAGATCTTCTATTCTTAATAGTTAACAGATTTCAGATTATTTGTAAAAAGATTAAACACATCGATTTATTTTTCCACTTTACGAGGCTCTGATAGAATTCAGTTGTCTTGGCAGTATTGGCATGTCATACCAGACCGTATTATACTTTGTGGAAATAAGTTTGTTAAGAACGAATAGAAATCTGTTTTCACACAATATCATTTATTGTGTGAATAAGATTAATATTAAAAATTTTGATATTACGATGGCCTACACATTTCAGGAAATGGTAGATATGCATTTAACTTTGAGTAAGTTGGATCAGATTAAATTATGATCTCAATACACTACCGGAAATATCGTAGGTGAATGTCAAGGAAATAGTGTAGCAGCCCCAAGGCGTTATGAAGTAAAATACCAAAATCGAAATACACCCGATAGACGATTATTTCTGACCATTGATCGTCGTTTACGGAAAACGGGTACATTCCAACCGCAAGTTGTTGACAATAGTGGTCATCCAATAATGGATGCAACTGATGAAGACATTTGCAACTGATGAAGACATTGATTTGGTTATAACACAGAAATCTACCAATGCATTAGACGTGTTCGAAAGAAAAATATTGCGTAGAATACTGGGTCCAATAAAGGAAAATAATAACTGGCGAATTAGATATAATAACGAAATATACGAACAATACACTGAACCAACACTAGCACAATACACTAGACTGCAGAGATTACGATGGGCAGGGCATGTGGCCCGCATGCATGAGAACAGAATCCCCAGAAAATTACTAAACGCAAGAATGCAAGGAAAAAGACCTGTTGGAAGACCAAAAAAGAGATGGGAAGACGAGGTAGATGAGGATGCCAAAAATCTCCTAAAAACGCGTTCATGGAAAAGAACAGCAGCAAATAGAGATGTTTGGAGAGGTTTAATGAAGGAGGCCAAGGCCCGGCTTGGGCTGTAGTGCCATTGGATGGATGGATGAAGACATTTTAGAAATCAGTGAAGAAGTCCCTAAAACAAGTACAAGGGTAATAGCTGCTCAACTAAATGTTCCTCACGTAAAGGTTTGGAGGCGTTTGAAGGATCAGCCACTTAAACCCTATCACTTAACAACGGTTCAAGAGTTATTGGTTGGAGATTATTCTAAAAGATTGGATTTTGCGATTGGTTGTTAATGGAAAACATTCAAAATGTTAATTTTATTAGAAATATTTTGTTTACCAACGAGGCTACCTTCACTAGAAATGGAATAACAAACCATCATAACGAGCACATTTGGGCCGACGAAAATCCTCACGCCAAACGAACGACTCATCACCACTCATCACCAAAGTACTTTCAAAGTTAATGTTTGGGCAGGAATTGTGGCAGTTCTTGGTAAACGATTTACAAGAGTATTTGGAAGAAGTGAATATTGCAAAAAGGCAAAATATGTGGTTTCTACAAGATGGCGCTCCACCGCATTACAGAAATGAAGTCCAGGTATACCTTTGCAGGCAGTATCCTGGTCGGTGGATTGGAGGTGGTCGTGACGCACCTATTTCTTGGCCAGCCAGAAGTCCAGGTCTTAACCCCATGGACTTTTTCTTTTGGGATATATCAAAGCAAAAAAGTATTCTGCAACAATAGAGGACGAACAGCAATTGAGGGTTAAAATGATAAAAGCCGCAAATCAAGTTCGTCAGAAAAATATGATTTTTCAGTGCATTCGGTTTTCCTTATTAAAACGATACCGAATGTGTATTGAAGAAAATGGAGGACATTTTGAACATCTATTTTAATATCATATTTATAGAGGTTATAGACATTTTTTGTACTTAATTCAATTCATTAAAACCATTTATTTAGTTGCACGTAATTTTTTAAAGGTTTTTTTGTCTATAAGATAAAAAATAATATTTTTTTTACTTTACTTTACTTTATTATTGGTATTTCGGAGAGACATCAGTTCAATCGCGAAAGGCAGTAGTATGCTTTCTAGATGCTTTAAGCTAGCAGAAGTAAAATATGCGTTGCTGAGGTGGTATTGCTAAGGTGTCAAGGAACTGATGGTATTGCTAAACGTATTACATGCCGTACACCGATAACGCACCAGATTGAAGACCGTTTTATTAGGTTGTAGGTTTTGTGAGATCGCAGTGTATCGTATTACAATTGAAGCTGCAAGAGTCATATCAGGTGTTTGTAAATAGCCAAACCATTAGAAGTAGACTGCATGAAGTAAGGTTAAATTTTCGATACAAAATTTATAAATATAAAAAATTTGTCTCGACAATATCAACTACAAAAACGTTTCGTTATTGGAAAATGTTATATGCACTTAAAAAAACAACAAACCTAATTAATTAATGAGATTAATACCTTCAAATTCCATTATATTCTAAATCAGTGTTCCGCAATCGTTGCATTTTGTACCGCTTAGGGACAAATATTATTTGAACCCTCTGAAGCGAGCATTAATTTAATTGGTATTGAACATACATGGAACATAAAATGTGGCCATCGGAAATTCAACTGACCATACATTTTTTATCGGAAACTGATAATCGTTACGTTCGATGAGGCAGCTCAAAAAGAATAGTTAGCTTTGCCGGAATAAAAACCTATAATTTTAGAGCTAAAAACAAATATAGCTAA